TGCGATGATTGTTTGGTGGACTTTGATCGTGATGCGAAGAAGCTGCTTAAAATATGCATTTTTTTAAATGCTTTCTGTTTACGTTTTTTTATTAATAAAGTTCACTTTTTTTATTAAACGATCTTGTTATTTTCGCGAGAGAGCACAAGTGAATTTATGCGAGTATCTACCGCGAGTGCGACAATAATTTCAAAAAATCTGACTTGTTTAAAATTCGAATAATAAATCACAAATACATATAGTAACTTAAAATTTTTAGATATTTTATAAAACATATTTAATTACGTCGTTAACTTTGTTTTTTGATCTCTTTTTGACTTATTAATACGATTGAATATTTTAATAAATATTTAATAAGACATATTAAATAACAAATAATTAATTTTGTCATTATAAATTCCATCTTTAAAATAATTCGGATCGATGAAATTATTAATTAATTAATTCCAGAGATTATTAATTCCAGAGATGAGCAATTAATGACACAAATGAACTTTGAAATTTCAATCACATTTCACTTTTACTTTTAAAGATGCGTAAAAAATCATGAATGCATGCCTTACAATCGTCAGATCGCACATACAAGATAGAACTTGCTTTATTTTACTCGCATAAATTATAACTGATTATTATCACCAATCCATTAGCAATGGCGGAGAATTTCCGTGTGCAATAAATATTTAGATCTTTGGCAAAAATGATCAACCAAACTTTGCTTTCGGATATCTCAAAATCCAACACTAATTGTATCTACATTGTCCAATAATATTTTTGATACATCACATGTTTATTTTAACATAATATTTATTTAACGCTTAAAATCATAATTCAAATACTAAATGAATAATTCCTATAACTATTATAACAATCATAACAATCATAATATCAGTTATAGCGATTTAACTACAATCAATTATTGTATTTTATTTTGCGTAAGAAGTACATTAGAAATAAGAAAAATTCTATTATCTAATCTAAATATAGAAATGATTGATTATGAATCAAAAAATGATTGCGATTATTGATCATCACTAATTATTATTATCTTCTATTTTTATTAACTTACACACATAATCTTATACAACACAACTCATAATATTAATTAATATTAATTTTGCATTGTTAATAAAATGAGTACAAGCAGTGAGTACAGATAATTAGAAAATGATTGCAATCATTGCTAATTATTATAAGAATAGTATAAATGTGCAACAGTTCAACGTAAATGTATGTGCAATATAAATAAACTTGATACGATTGTATTATTGGACACAATATTTATATGTCAGTAAGACGAACGTACGACAGATTTATCAAATAAATTCCGTTCGATCATAGTATTGTTGAAACACAGTACATTGCGTCAATAGTGTAAATTCTATGCGACCATAGTATTATATCCATGTGATAGATTTTTTTATATTTATGGATTAAAATGTAGTGTTTATGCATGATATTAAATTACGTAGTGTTTATATAGTAAAAAATAATATTTATACTTGAATATTTAAAAATAAATACTGTTTTTTACTGAAATAATTTGACATTATGCATAAATACCACACATTTTAATTCATACACATAAAATATTTATCATACAGATATAATACTCCATCCAAAACTCACTCACTGATATATAAATATAGTATAATAATGGTTTAGTATTTTGGTATAAATATATAAAAGAAATACACGATTTTTATCGTATAATAGTATATTTATAAGTTTAAGTTATAACAAATAATGTTTTTTAAATATTTTTAACAAACGCTCTCTGATATAAATATAATACGACATAAAGCCAATAAACACAAATAAATTTATAAATACGTATATAATATACATATAAGTTTGTGAACGTGTTATATTGATTATACCATTTATTTAATATCTTTTTTATCGTATAATATTTATGAGTTTTAATATATTTTTTATATCAATCTGTGTGTTTATTAAGTACAATCACATAGAATTTACATTCGCTATTGCGCGTTGCAATATACTGGGACTCTAGCTACGAAAAACTACGATCGTATGGAGGTTACTTGACAAATCTGTCGTAGATTTTTGCTAGACCATTGCCAATATATTGCATCGATAGCGAATGTTTATATATTACATTCTTTGTTTTATATATATAAATCTAGTGCGATTCTAATATCAGTGAACGTAATATGTGTGTGTGTGTGTGTGTGTGTGTGTGTGTGTGTGCGCGCGCGCGCGCGCACAATCGCATTAAGTTTATTTACTATTACATTTATAAATGTTATATTTGTTATATTTTTATCTTATTCTTCGATATATTCATTTAACGGATTTCTCACTAGACATAGAAGGCAAGCGCGATACGATTACAATAATTTGAATCTTTAACATGTTATATTTGATAAAGAGTTACAGTCAATCTCACTTCTTTTTCAAAAGAATGTAACAATGAATTTGTCATGATCTCGAAAAGTATATTCACCGAAATTATATGGTTTTGAAATATAGAATCAATAAAATGATCAACAAAATGATGCACTAATTGCAAATATCCGTATTAATTGATGTATATATCTCGATAAGCGCTCGTCATTTCAATCAACATTTGATAATAAAAATTCTTATTCATTGTACATTTTTAATGAACAAAATTCACAACTGCGAAGTTGCAAAACGCTTATATTCTCCACCCAAATTGATATCCTTTATCATGATGACTAAGTCTTAATGTGTACTATATCAAAATTTAAATAATTTGAAATATAAATATTATATATTTTATTAACAATTTGACGCTTTTTGACCAACTATAGCGATCAGTCGAGATTTAATCGATGGTCTTTATAAGCTGCGTTCCATTTAAGCGCACAACACTTATTTATTTTTTTTATTTATTTCTTATTTATTTCTTTTTTTTTAAATTAGTAAATAACAAAGATAAAATTATTCTGAAAGCATTGCAAGCGTTAAGTCCCATACAACATAGACTTTCAAAGGATGTTTTAAAGATGCCTAGAGGACATCCTATGAAAGGATATCCTAAGATAGTGTTTCTGAAACATTCCTCGGATAAAGTGTGCTGTATGAGGTAAAACGCAGTCATAAAAATTCAAATAGATGTGAAAAGATCTTCATGTGGAAGATGTAAGGAGATGCCGTTTTAATTACGCATTTAAATTTTAAGCATGGGGAATGCAATTTCTGATTAATCGCAACGCAAATACGAATTTAAAAGTTAAAATTATGGATACTTGTTCATAAAAAAATAGTTGTTTACAGCATTTTATATAACTATGCAACATCACGTGTTTGATTTTCCCGATCACATAAGATTTTTTTAGAGTAAATATTAGAATATTAACTGTAAATATTGATTTGATCGTAGAATAAAGCAAAAATTTATAACGTGTTAGTTCGAATAATTACTAATAGATGTCTCTATCTGTATGATATTCAGCGGAGTAAGTTTACGTCTGCGCGCGAATAATGTAATCTAACCTCAAACTGATATAATTTACTTTTTCCAGCTTTATATATAAGCGAATTATTATCAAAAAGTGTATTGTCATTCAATACCTGGATACATTTAATATTAATTTAAATTTTTTTATAAAAAAGAGTTAACTAAGGAATCAAAATCAATATGTTAAAAAATATAAATGAGTCTCGTAAGCAACAATTGGAAGAGTTGGAAAGTTTTACTAATGCAATCAATGAAAAAATCGCCAATATCGTTGAAACTCTAGGTTGGACAGTGGAAAGCGTGACGAACATGGTAAATATAATGAGAAAGTATTTTGGTATATTCTTTTCAATGAAATTATGTTTTATATAGGACAAGGAGTATCTTACATGTCCGTATGACCCATCTCATCGATTAACAGAGAAATCCCTTAATGATCATCTTGCTTCTTGCCAATGGAAAGCTGAAGGTTATGGAAAACTGGATGTCCCATTATCGGAACCATTTTTCCCAACGGATTCACCATTATGTATAAAGATTGGTAAGTACATTCTTCTAGGATAAGAATTTCTGCAAAAAGAAGATTATCTAATATCTTATGTTTATGTATAAAATATGTATTATAGATAAGCAACTGCAAGAACAAATTCTCAAGAAGGCCAAAGAACAGAATCCAGCAATGCAAATTGGTTAGTAAAAACTTAACAATTATGTGCATTCTTGTATTTTTTAAATGACAATAGAATTTTTTACAGCAAGTTGTGATTGTTATACTTGGTGCAGAATCAATATATCCTTTTACATATTTTTTATTGGATATTTCATAACTATATATTATATAAGATATATTATATTTGTAATCTAACAATTCATATAATTTTCCTATCTGCTAATTAAAAATAATTATATATCTACAATTTATAAAAATTAAAAAAATAGCTTTTGTTATATATTAATTGTTTTACAATTTTATAATTTTGAAAAATGTGAATTCTTAACACCATAATAGGTATGGGTGAGCGGTTAGTACCGCGTACGTCTGATAGGATTGTCATAGATTTTACTAGAGATGAAAGGAAAGCGATATATGACTATGTCATCGCTAATACTGCAAAGCCAAACATTGGAGAGGATATCACAAACATTAATAATTTGTGAGTTTGATAGACTAATATTTATAGAAAATATATTTATGATGGGCACAATAAAATATAGTTAAATAGAAACTTATTTAACAAATAAAAATATGTCGGAATTGTAGAATAAAATTTGTTCATATAATATTTTATATTCGAGGTAATCAAATTTGAAAATTATCGAGTATACATTTAATTTTTGACTTAATAGATTTTATTACATGCAATTATGTTAATAATGTTATGAATGATTTACAACATATTTTAATTATATTTATTAATAAATTATTTGTAGGAATTGTTGCTCTCTCATGTTATATACAAATTATTAATAAATTAAAGAAATAATGTATTTTGAATATTTAGTTCGAATATACAATTCTCTCTTAGCTGGAAAAAATTTTTAATATCTGATAAATTTTAAATTCGATAATGTAATTTCTAAAACGATTACATTATATGTAAACATTTTATTCTATATTTCCAACTGATTTTTGCATGAATAATTGCATGAATAAATTTTGCATGATATTTGCATGAATAAATTTTGCATTGAATAATTTTTTGTTTGGTTATCTCTATCCTGGTTTATGGGGTTGTGTATAATATATACTAATATATTATTATCTATATTACATATATATTTTTTAAATTTTTAAACATTGCTATATCTGTTTTTAGTGAACCACAGAAAGAAGATAAAGAATTATCTTTTCTCGAATTATTAATACAAGAGCGTAACTTGAAAAGACGCAGAGCAAAGCATAAAGGCGTTCATACAAACAAAAAATCTCATGTCGAAGTGCTTAGAGAAGTAATTAGTCAACAAATGGAGGTATACCTAGATTATATTTCTGGAAAGGACAATTCTGAACATGTTACAGATGTTCAAAATATCCAAACAGATGAATTAAGTTATGAAACAATGCAAAATAGAACTGATCATTTATATAAAGTATTTCATACTTCATCACGAAACCATGATGATTATAATTCTGGAGAAAAGAACGATTATTATAAGAAAAAAAGAAGTAATCAAAAGAGAAAACATTCAGAAGAAAGAAATTATCATCAATCCAGAGATCGAGACAAACGGGAAAGATATTCAGATGAAATCGACAGAAAGCATAGACATGAACATAAAAAGTCGCGTTCAAAAGAGCGAAAATCACATAAAAAAGATAAACATCGGAACAAAGACAAACATAACGATAAATATAAAAATAAAGATAAATATGAAAAGAAACATAAATCTCGAGACCGCAATAAATCATCAGAGAGACATGCAAAGCATAATGATCATAAACGAAAGAAAAAAATAGTATTGACAAATTATAGATTAATTATAAGAAAACTATTTATTTATGGATTTCATGTAAAATTGATTATAATTATGATTGTAATACAAATCTAATATTAAAATTCATTTTTTATAAATATTATAAATATATTTTTCATTAGCATCAATTAAATTCATTTTATTTTGCTAAAATTTATTTTGGCAAAGTAAAAATTTTATTTTGCCAAATATAATTGATTATTCATTTCTTACGCAAATAAAAGGGAAAATTTATGTATGGATATATTGGATTTAGAGGTATAGGATGATAATTGGGCTGTACAGAATACATAGATTTGTAAAAAGTTGTTTGAAGTTCATTCATTGATCTTATTAGATCAATATACTTGTCTAAATTATGTGGTATTGAATTATGTATAATGATAAATGGAGTTTGTGATTTCACTTTTGGTTCAGTGATAATTTTATTTTGTTGCGGCAAGCTTCTACGCGTAGACTTGAATTTCACTAAATAGCGTTTTTTTTTAGTATTCACTTTGATGGTACTGCAATTATAAGAAATTAGTAATTTTAATGTATCATGATATGATAAATGACTTCTTTGGCCAATCTCCACATAAGGTGTCTGTAAAAAATAAATTTATTATCAATTTAATCAATAAAATTGTTTAATACTAATAAGAGATACTACCTAATTGTTACACATTTCCAAGTTTTATAAACTTGCGCTAGTAAAAATATTTTCAAAGTAAAAAAATAATATCAATTTTGATTACATTTGTCAATATTAAGCTCGTCAAAAACTATAAAAATATGAATATCCCCTTTCTCCTTAAACAGCAAACCGCAACTTATTATATATTATTTAATTATATTTTAATTATGAATGAGTATAACTATTGTTGTAAACTATTGTTGTAAAGTTATGTGACCCAATTTGGAAAAGATAGTGATGAATAGTCATGAATAATAGATAAATAGAAATATCAACTTTTTTATGTTAAATGTAAGTAAAAATATTCTGATGTTATTGTTGTAAATACCCGCTATTATTAACAAAAAAATATCCAAATTATAAAACATCTAACAGATCGTATTTAATAAACAGTGCGGATTATCTGATAGGCACTATTAATATTTTACATATTGTTTTTAACTTTAATATTGATAATTGCTGAAATTGATATTATTATTTTTAATTATAAGAATATTTTTATTAGTGCAAAGTTTTTTTTAGTAAAATTGACATGTAAGAATTATGTAGTGTTTTTTGATTAAATATAATCAATAAGATCAAAAAAATTTAAGTCATCAAAAGTTTATTTCTTTTTTTTTTTGTAATCGTGAATTATTATCTTTGATATTTAAAAATTTGTCATATTACCCTAGGTATTATCGTAGGAAGTGACTTATCAGTAGAAAACGCCGTCATCGAATAGTGCATTACACTGTCATAGTCGTACGGTAATCCATAATCAGTTACGATGCTATTATTTAATATATGGAAATTGAATGTAACTTCTGAAAAGATCGTTGTCAATTTTTTTTCAGTTTGGTATTAATTTATATGCTGCATTAATTACCCTTTCTTATATTTTCCCATATTATAGTGATATATTTGTCGCGATCTGGTCTCATATGCTCATGATATACACCTAGGGTGTGCATTATCTCATGCATCGAATGGCCAACCGTTCGGAAACATGCGTTTACATCTAGATTTAGCGTAGTATATCCATACGCATTACGTCCTAAATCGGAGAAGCAACCTTTTTGATGGCCTGTGATATTGATCCAATTATTTGCTGGTAGGTTTTCATATTTTTTAATACGTATGAATTTGATACAAGTCCTCGACATTATAGTATGTAACGCATCTTTCAGCATAGCTAATTTCGACGGCTCGTTTACTAAAACGGATAAGATCCTTAAATATCAGTAATTTAAATAGTTCTTGAATATGATTTGATTTTTAATAGAATATGTATGTAAATGCTTTATCTCCAAATTTATCTTGATTGTATAGATCAGATATTTTGACTTAAATTGCTGAGAAACATCTCACCTATGGACGAATCAACGTAGTAATTCACTATACCATTGGGCCATAATAAAGTTTTATCCGCCGTAATGGTTTTTCTCGATTTCGACGACAAATATATATCTCCTTCTCGTTTTATACCTTCTTCAGGATTATCATATTGTGACCACGAATTAACTGCCAATACATAAAATATCGAGGTATTTTTTAAATGATTTTTTATTTCTACTTCTTCTACTTTTTGTTCTTCAAGCATAATCAGTGAATGAACTTTATTTCTTCACTCACGTCTATAACTAATGGATATCCCAGAAGAAGTCTTTCTTGAAGTCTTTCTTAGTAATTTCGATATCGGTGGTGGTTCTGTCTTATTTTTCCAAGGATTTATAAGTTGCGTCGGATATGCATTAATATTTGTAATAAGCCAGTTACTTAATAAAAGCACTACTAACGAGAATAAGCCACGAAGGCATCGAACTTTCTGCATCTTTCTTCGGCAAACTACAAACATGAACTGAATTGCATTAAAACTGATCCGATATAAAATACGATTAATGTATTAGAATTCTTCTTGTTGGTGGTCCAGTGGTTCATGAGTAGCGTGTTCAAGACAACTTGGTGAGTAGATTAAATTGGGGAACCATTGTTAGAAAATGGATTATTAGAGTCAGTTGCAATTGCTAGTAAAACTTTGATCAATTAAGTCATATCGCTATACAACTTTTATTGCAATGGTTTCGATCCTTAAAAAATTAAATTCAAATAGTATGTTTATATCGCGTATTAATATTGTGAGGATTACGTTTGTAAAAAATAATCCCTTAAATCTTAGAAATATTTTTATGTATCTTACATTGAAAAAAATGCTATTGAATCAACAGCATGGTCTAACAATATTTTGAAAATAAATTTGTTAATTCAATGACATTATTAATGGAACAATGTGAAACAATATCATGCTCTTGTTTTAAAGATCTTTGTTTCATTAATAATGTCATTGAATTAATAAAATTTATTTCCAATTAGACTAATGCTCTTGATTCAATAGCATTTTTTTTTCAGTGTAGATTTAATTGTGTATATAAAGATAATAATCCTAGATCAATTTTTGTTATACCGATTTATTAATTTACAAACAAGAATATGTTTTATCAGAAGAAAAGTTACGGTACACTGCGTGTAATAAAGGTGCTATTCCATTACGATTCTATTTTTTATTTTTATCAACTTTTTAATACCGTATAATTAATTTGTAACGGTGATAGGGATTATAGTATAGAAACTAACAAGCAAAAACAAGTGTGTCTTATTGGAAAATATTCTTTCTTCTAATACAAATCAAGTGTCATACATAAAGTGTTTATGATGTATATTTTTTAAATCAGTTTTATTTTTATAGAAAAAAATTTATTCAAAAATTTATTCTAAAAGAATTGAATTAAGATATAAAAAGAAATAAAAGAATTGAATAAAAGAATAAAAGAATTGAAGTGAAATTTAAGAATAAGAAATAAAAAATGATTTCCAATTTCATACAAATATGTGATATATTTTTTATTTTTATTTTTTTAATTATAACGACACTTGTTATTGTCATATTAATTAGTATTAAAAAAATAGTGACATATTTTTTTATAGATAAAAAAATTTTTGTACAGATATTGATTAATAATTGATTAATAATTATATAATTATTATCTATATTTATTATAATAATGTGTTTTATTTCAATTCTATATAAAAAGATAATATTTTCTGATATAAAATTAAAATAAAAAATATTTTTGAAGTAATACAATATAAAGTAATACAATATAAGTAATACAATATAAGTAATACAATATGAAGTAATACAATATAAAGTAATACAATATAATATAAATTTTAACTTTTATATTGATATTCCAAAAACAAATATTAAATAACAACAATGTAGAAATGTTTTAATATTTATAATTAATATTTATTTCTTACAATTAAAATTATTTTCTAAAATTATCTAAATATCCTGTGATAGAAATTAAAATCGATTAATTAAAAAAAGTTTGAGAGAAATATTGGCTATATATTTTAATATCTTAGGAATATTTTTTTTCGTTATATTTCTTCATTATCATCAAATATTCTACTGTTTTGAGTTACTACTTCTTACTTCAATCAGAATATTCGCTAAGAGGGCGCTAGTGTGTAGTGAATTTCTTTATGTTGTTTATTATATCTCGCAGACTTAGCAATCAAGTTTCATTTCGTTTTTATTTCTGTTTTTGCTGTAACTAATTGATACATTTATATTTTTAATTATTTATATTTAATTCATGCAATCTCAATACGTCGTAGGATTGTGTTGCACGTGGATATTGTGTCAGTACAAAAAGCACATTTTTTTGACATTTGTTTTCAATATCAATAAAATGAAGAAATACGAAAGTTTCAAAATGAAGAAATATGAGATTTTAAAACATATTGGAGAAGGATCTTTTGGACAGGTGTACAAAGCTAGGAAGCGTTCAGATGGTGAAGTTGTGGCTTTTAAAATGATAAGAAAGGTATAGCAACTTTGAAATAAGAGAGATAAATAACATCTTAGTTTACGAGTAATGCATTGAAATGTTTTTACCTTATAGTGTGGCAGATCGTACAAGGAACTCAAAAGTCTGCGTCAAGAATGCGAGATTCAACGTTACTTGCAGCATCCAAATATCGTACAAATGATAGATTCATTTGAAACAGAAAATGAGGTATGTCAGATCTAAACAGAAATATGTAAATAAAATATATTTCTAGATATTCTATAGAATATCTGATCTAGATCGTAGTTGTAACAGAATACGCAGACAAGGAATTATATGATATACTAGCCAAGGAAGGTAGATTATCTGAAGAAAGGGCACAAGTAATAGCCTGTGATCTCGTATCTGCACTTTATTATTTGCATTCAAATCGAGTGATGCACAGGTTTGTATTTAATTATAGAGACAAAACAACATATGATACAATTAATATAATGATTATGTTTCGTTATTAGAGATCTCAAGCCACAGAATGTCCTTTTGGAAGCAAATGGTATAGCTAAGTTATGCGACTTTGGATTTGCTCGTAGTATGAGTACTGGTACTCATGTGCTTACGTCAATCAAAGGCACACCACTATATATGGCACCAGAACTTATAGAGGAATATCCATATGATCACAATGCTGATTTGTGGTATGTGAATAGAACCATATAATTTATTTCATATAAACAATCTTTATAATTTACTTATGTTAGAAATATATTTTATAATTAATTTTATTTTTAGGTCTTTAGGCTGTATTGTTTATGAATTAGTAGTTGGTGCTCCTCCATTTCAAACTAATTCAATATTACATCTGGTCAAATTGATTAGATTTGAAGCAATAAAATGGCCAGATTTTATTTCGCCAATTTGCAAAAGTTTCTTACAAGTAATTTATCCAGATATATCTTATTTATCTAAATATTATACATATTAAGACTTCTGTAATTGTATTATATATGTGTAGATTTTATCTCTTTTCCTATTCTTATTGTATCAGGGAAAAGTAACTTTCTGAAAGGTTCTCATAAACTTTTTTATTTTTATTAAGAATTGCCATTTACACAATTTAAAATTAGTAGAAGTTAGTTTATTAAAGTATAAAGACAATCCCCTTTTTATCTCATGTATATTTCATGTTTTCTCATTAATGTTGTATATAAAATTAATTGTAATAATTGTGATCCTTATATTGGTTAGATTGGTAAACTATTAAAAACAAGATTATCTAGAACATAGAAGTTACATAAATAAAAATACAACTTGGATTTCAATTATTACGATTATAGAATTAACTTAGAACACGATTTTGATTGAGATAATGCTATAATACTTAACGAAGAAAGAATCTTAAATGAATACCTGATTTCTGAAATGATCTATATACGCAAACAAAAGCATGGCTTGAACGTGCAGAATAATATGAAATTATTTAATTCTACTTCGATTGATTTAGTTACTTTAAGAATACATGCTTCCTTTTTTTAGATAAATTTGTTCTTGTAGGAATTGTTATTTTTATTTCTCTGTCATTCAATATATTTTCAAAGTTTTTATTACCAAAAATTTATATATATATATATATATGTTTCCAATTATCTAATTACTAATAATTATAAGTTTTAATCATTTTATAATAATTTACTGTCTTTCATAGTTATAATGCGTTTAAGTCAGAATTTTGCTTTTTTTTATTCCATTACAATTAGATTCTATATAATGAATTTGGACAATAACTTATATAATTGACAAATTTCATTATTCTTATATACTTCACATTGTTTTACTTGTATACTTCACATTTGTATACTTCATTTTGACTACACAATTTACAGATTACTAATATTTATCTCCTCTTTTTAATTTTTAATTTTTAATTTTAATTTTTAATCTTTAATTTTTTAATTTATTGTATTCTTTAATTTATATTAAATAATTTATATAAAATTAAGGCTATGTATTAATTCGATTTTTTATCGAAAAAGATACAAAAATATGATTGAGAATCAAAAATTACTACTTTACTTTATATTATTATTAAATATGTATAAAAATTTACATATATACATGTATATATAATCTTGGCTTATTAGTATTATTGTAATTTACTGGTTTTATTTATATGATATTTTTATAATATTTAAAATTTTTTTATATTTAATACTTTTTAAATCGATATTTATATATTAACAAGTTTATTATCATTCCTTTTTATATATCTTTATACAATTTAGTATTTAAAAGTATTTGTATTTTATTCTAAATAAAAAATGTATTAAATTTAACTTATGGATAGATTAGATAATAGTACATTATCAATTATCATTAATTTGTAAAGGGATATTAAATATGTCATTTAAGCAATTATAATTGCAATTTCAGGGTTTGCTTCAAAAAGATCCTTCTCAGCGATTAACATGGCCTGCACTTCTTGAACATCCATTTGTCAAGGATCGAATTATAATAGTAGCTGGTGCTGTACCTACTCCATTCACAAATCCATTATCTGCGAGTCAAGCAAGAGCAAAGCAGCAACAATTACAGAACTTAGCGATGCGTACTGCAAATCAAACTAAGTAATATTAATATTTATTATATTAATTCTTTTGAAAAGATTATTTGTTAATATATGTTAATATATTAACGTTTATATATATATATGTTAATATACGTTCTATATAATCAATATTTTCTTATGCAGAGTTGTGGAGAAAGCAATAAAAAAACTACAAGAACAGGAGAGAAGACATTATGAATATCGACAACGAACGTGTATCTCACAACCCGGTTATCTGATATCCCCTGCTTATTGTCATCATATGATAAATCATTGTCAAGCATTACGGCGAAGCGAACCAAGTGGCACTGATTCCAGCGCTAGTATTGATGTCCTCTTAGGAAATCTTAGTCTCAGAGCATCCCTGAAAAGTGATCTTTTAGCTGCAGATCATGTTTTATGTCAGAGCGACTGTCCACATAGTACAAACATGCAACACAACTTTCCAATATTAAATGATCATTTGAAACCTGTTCAAACGCAAACGGACGATTCTTTACGACCGTTGAATAAAGAAATGTATCATACTAATGCTCAAGGTGATGGAATCAATGTAGGTCAACAGATTGAAAAATCTTCACATATTGATCAAATTGTGCATGGCGATGGTGATTGCAAGCAAAGTTGCTTGAGCATTGATTACGAACAGGAATTTGGTGAGAGAAACTTGACTGAAAAACACGCAAGATTGCCAGATTGGGATCCGAGAGCAGTGGAAAGGCCCATTGAAAATGAAGAATGGATTGTATTTTTACAAAGGTCAATGGAAGAAGTTATGGAGGGTGAGATTGACTCATTGTTGCAACAGAATTGCGTTTCAGTATTTGTTTCTCCTTTGCGAAATCCGGCGGCCGGTTGTCGAGTTGTCGAATATGTGACTTGTTTATTATCATTACCATTTACCGTGTCAATAAGTAAAGAGAATCTCAAAAAGATTGAACAAGTTTATTTAGATGTGAGAGTAGTACCAAATCTCGTTTACGCCATAAAATTATTAATGTCGGAACGTTCCGATAACGAATTAAATACAATAAATACAGTCAACGTGGGAACAAGATCAGCATCTTCTTTATCCGCCGATGAGCTTCAAGCACTCGAATGTGCTATGCTAATTCTTTGTAGATTGATTTATATTGAAGATCAATTTCTCATGCAATTTTGTGATGCCATTTATATCGTAAATGGAATGCTACTTTTACAGCAACTACTAACTTTGGAAAAAAGAAAGGCAAGAGTCGTGGCAGATCTTGTTGCAATCTTAAATAACGTTCTGCGATCTCAACCTGAAAACGCTGAACTTGTAGAACAAGTTGTGCTGCGTACAAAAACTCCTGGTGAGCTGATTATAAATTGTTTTCTGCTTTATATCATAATTTTAATGAATTTGTATACTTGAAATCATTATTTTTTTATGAAGGAGCTTCGGTGGAACAGTTGAACAAACTTCTTAATCATCGACAAGCTGTTTTACGAGCAAGGACATGTACTATGATTAGATTGTTGGGTAGATTTTGTTGTAGAGCTTTACAACAGATCTGGAATAAGTCATTAAGGGATCTTATGGAAAGTTTAATTGAGGACGAAGACGAGCATGTCCGACATGTAAGTTAATCTTGAATGAGCTAACATATTATTTTTACATACAAACTTTTTATAATGTATCATAAATGTTATTTTAGGCAGCAAAAGATGCTATAAATGAATTGAAACAATTAACATATTATAATTAGGAAAACTTCAAGTGTCTTAAGTATCTTAGAATGAAATAAGCATATCATTATAATTTTCATATACAGTGCTATTAAGCTTGATAAATCTTACGATGCCTTAAAATAAAGTTCTTTATTTTTGGACAAACTGATAATTATACTTAAGAAATATTTGTGATATTTTTATAAATTGTACTAAAATAATAAATGTATTTTAATTTAAAAACATGAAAATATACAGATACTTTGCAGACAGATATATGTACGCTTTATTATATCTTCTAAAATCTGATTGTTTGAAAGTAAATTTAATCGAATATCCATCCTATAGAAATCTCTTCGGAAGAACCTTCGGAAGAATTACCATCACTTCCTTCTGGTTTACGATCATCACATTGCTCTTTATACATTGCTTGCACCTTGGCCACATCCTTTTCGCTGAGTCCGTCTCGCTGACCAAGTTTTACCTTCTCTTTCTGCGAAGTAGCATAAACATTGAAAGCAAACCGAAATCAATATTACAAGTGCCGCGCAATTATTACCTTCGGCGTAATAGTAAGTTCTCCATTCCTGGAGAACGCGTGGGAGCTGTAGTGCATGACACTTTTGTAATCATAGCCGACACCATAATCGGTAACAGTGCGATTATCATACTTATTGAAGTTATGCTCCTTACCTGAAAAAAAGTTTATAAAAATTTTATTTATGCATTATGCGAGAACATCTGTTCTAAAATCAGTTGACACCGTTTTGTCTTGGATACGAAAGTAGTCAAATGACATTCAAGATCTCTAAATCTATCCATGAAAAAGATAAATAAATACACGATCTTATGAAGAAACGCGAAATCAATATAAATGATATGAAATGAGTTTAACAAACACGCTATTATTGATTGTACCCAATTTAATATTTTCCCAATGTATGGTGACCCACTCGTCTCGATCCGTGGCGCTCTGCTGATGGTAAAAGCCTAAGGCATGCATGAGCTCGTGCACGACAACACCATGATGAACGCATCCCGGATTCTGTAGATTCAATACCTGTCCATGACCGTGACGACCCACCAAGGACCAGCATCCGGACTTTTTCGCTTGTATTGTCACGTAATCGTCGTCGGTATCTTTGTAAGATCGAAAACGCAAGCAGGTTTTTCATGGTACTCTTGCATAGCTCCTTTGATTAATTCGATTTGATCTCTGTCTATAAATGATAATTAATAATTATTACAAAAATTGAAATAAATTAAAAATCGGTTTTTAAATGTAAGTATATGTATAATGAATTACTGACAATCGATTTCAACAACATAATTTAACATTAATCTGAATTTAAATAATTTCTTATCTTTTTTCGTTTCTGTAAAACGATGTAATTTATCTAACGGTCTAATAAAATATAAATTGAATAAAGTCGCCTGTAAATTTGTATTTAATGGAATTTGTTATATTAATTAGTGATACTTATAGTGATATTATATTTGTTATCGTTATATAAAATAAGATAAAAAAATCACCAAAATCATCTTCTTGTATAAAATAGGGGACGATACCGCCGGGCCATCGTGCTGTAGCGTCTAGAAGACCGTTCTTCCCTGATGGACTATCTGGATGAACCATTATATCACCTTCATGTAAACCGCTCAGTTCCCAAACATTTTGTAGATCATTTGGATTCCAAGATTTTATGTTACTGGCTGTAAGAAAAAAAAAAAGAATAATAACAACTGATTTTTTATACGAAGTGCTCTTTAGCAATTGCGAGTGAAACGATATCATCGAGTCGAGGATTTTTATTTCAATTGCTCAAAACTTTAAGTAATTACAAATCCGTCAAAATTGCAAGTGTTCCAGAAATTTGATTACCAATTTCATCGTGATTGTAACCATCATCAAAAATTCCATTGAATCGTGGCTCAGGCGGTATAGGATGACCATGGGAACCACGATGACTTTTGAGTGGCAATTCCAAGCTGACATTGATCATTACGAACAATAAGATTATTCGCATCGGAGCCATTGTGTTCTTTTGTTCTGAACTAGAGCACCACTTACTCTGACACTGCAAGATAGCGTTCCTTTCCTTATATACGAAACCCTTATCCATCACAGCACGCTCGCTAGCGGAACTTTTTTAAACACCAGATATGCAAATACAGAATTTATCTCAGGGGGTTTGTGATGTAAAAAACGTTTAATTCCAGAATGTGACATCTTTCTTCGGTTTTTCTTCAATTTAGTCTCTTCCTGTACTGTATTAATGTTATCTTCTGAAAGTTAATCAGCAATAGCAGTTATTATTGTCATGTTTTACTCGTGCTGCTTGTTGCTTCAAAAATTATTTAGGTCAAAAATACAAATTATAATCGCGGACATAGTCTGAATATAAATCGCGCTTATCTTCCTGCTGACTGTTGCGACCCAAAAACGCTAGAAAATAGGTCCCATGACAAACTCCAATAGAATTATCACTACATTATTATTGTAGCGTCGAGACGATACATTTACATTAAGGAAGCTATGTATGTACATGAGGCAAATACAAATTAAGTATTATCACATTAATTATTTTGTTACATACAAAAATTTTAACATCTTTTCTTATACTTTTCTCATATTTATATAATATTTATATAATATATATAAATGTAAATATATATAAATATATATATATATTTACATAAAAAAAAATAATATATGTAAATATATATATATATATATATTATTTTTTTCTATTTAATGTTAAATATTTCGGATATAGTAAAAATTTGAATGAATAATTCTCATGGAAACATTTTATAATTGATTTAATACCTAAATACATATTGTAATAAACAGTAATGTGATACTGTAATAAACATTAGATAACAATTAATTTTTTTAAGAAAGCATTCTTTTAGAATAATTTTCATAAAAAGAAATTAATCTTAACAATTTCTAAAAATATACAAATAGTTTTAGCTTTTATTGCATCCAAATTTTCCGTACTGACTTTTACTCTTCGCATAGATACATCTGTTTAGAATATTCTTCATCTCTGACTTGATTACGAAAAATAGTATGATGTTTCTTCTTTGATTCGCGCGCGCGAATCGAGAGGATTATTTATCGCCGTTCTGAAAACGAGCAGCACGGCAGATTCGATGAAGCAGCGCCGAGAAGAAGGCGCCTGATCGGATCTCCGGCATCCCGACGCCTCGAGGCGACGACGTCTACGGATGTGGGTCAAAATGATTCGGTAGCCGGCCGCGTAATTCAGTACATCGGTATATTATCTCCGAATCGTTCTGTGCCTTTCCCTCCGGACCCCTCTGTCTCCGCCGGCGTCCGGGACCTGTCTACGGCCCCTCCGTCTCTACTCAGGCCCAGCCGAGGCGAGAAAAAAGGCATGCAATTATAACAGCGTGAAATTAACGGTAGCGACTTTGTACTCGCGTACATCAAATGCCGATTCACAAAAACAACGTTGGTAATTGATCACGTAGATACACGTAGACATACACACCTAATAGCCACACTACATCACAAGGTAGAATTAAAGAATTAAAAGAGAATTAAAGTGTTAAATATGTTGTATGAAAAAATGAAGAATATATATTACATACACACACAAACACACGTATGTATACACATACAATATGTATAATATTTTGGCTCTATTTTGAGTAGATAATTATGAAAAATTAAATACTATTTACATGAATGCTGTCTCTATGAATAATTTATATTCAGATCACAATCATCAGTTTCAATTTAAAAAATTATTAATTTGAATTTGAAGAATTGTTGTTGAAAAAAATATTATTAATTCTCTTCATTATTGTTGTAGTGAGAAATAAAATTTGAATAATATTATACTTGAATAATATTATATTTATTGTCACACATACCATACTTAATTTAATAACATTTAATAATATTTTTTTGATTTTTGACTCTATTATATTGGATTCTAAACCTTATTTATCATTAAAAGATAAATCTTTACAGTTTGAAATCAGATTCATTGAATATTAAATATAAAGCAAATATTCGTACGTGCACTTTTTATTCTTCATTTTTACTAGTTGTTTTAAAAATCTTCTAAGTATTTTACTATTATTAAATTGTTTTTTAAATTTATTTGGTCTTTTTTGACAATGATTTTGTTTTAAAAAGAAATTAAATATATACTGGCAATGTATTATATACCAATTTATAGCTTTTTACATTTTGTCAAAATAATTTGACTATCTTTTACATTTAAATTATAAAAATCTCTTTCGGATTGAAACTATTTTTATAGAAATTTAATACTGATGAACTAATGATTACTTATTTTGAATGTTAAAACCAATGTTGTTAATAATTCCTTGATATAAACTCAGTTATACAACTCATAATAATCACATGTATTTCAGCAAAATTTAAAATTACTGATAAAATATTATCTTACAATTCATATAAATATACACTGATGTAAAATACTGTATTAATACTACGCAAAGCAGTACACTGAATTACTATGAAATCAATTGTCTCAAGTAATACAATATAGATTGCTCAACTATTTTTATAAAAATCTCAATGTTTTGTCAATTATTTTTTCTATATGTAAATAGTTTAAAACTCAATATCTTATTCATACTTTCTTTCAAAAATAAAAATAGTAGCTTAGAAAACAGGTAGCAATTTTTGAATTTACACAAATGCAAATATCTCAGGACTAAAAATAATAATCTTGAAATACAAAAACTGTTATTTTCAATTAAAATATTTTTAATATATCATAAATATTTTTATAATTCTATATATCAATAGTTTAAAATTATCAATATCTCTCGTATTTGTATTTATACTTCCTTTTAAAAATAGTGACTATTTAGAAATATAATAGGCAGCAATTTTCGAATTTACGTAAATGCAAATATCTCTAAATTAAACTAAACTAAACTAAACTAAAAAATAATGGTTTTGAAATATAAAAATTGTTGTTTTCAATTCAGGTATTTTTAGCATAATATATATTCAATTTTACTTTTTAATGAAAAGAGTTAGCTAAAATCTTAGATGGTATCATGTCATCTAAAACATAATCAAAAGATGTTTACATTTTTATAAAAATATTTTTTAGCAAGAGAAAAGCCGATGAAAAAATAAATAATAACTGATAGATATCCGACAGCTAATTATCTTATAATCTTATTCATATAATAAAAAATAACTTAATGTAGACATTTTTTAGGATATGTTAACTTTTAGGATGTTTCAGTTATCCTTTCAATTGTCTTTAATATTTTTTAGATATATTTTCATTGTCTTAATTAATAATTAATTATCTAATTAATAATTGTACTATCAATATAATTCTACTATCAAAATAATATTTAATTTTTATGTTATTATTTACTTCTATCTTAGAACTTCCCATTAAGAAAGATTCTACATTTGGGTTTTGAGTCCTCAAAACCTCATTTTGAGGACTCATCTTCAAAAAATCATTTTATTATAAATTATAAATTATAAATTATTTTATTAGAATAACTATCTTTTATTCTATCGTATCCTTTTATTCTATCTAGTTTTATTCTTCTATAGTTTTTATTTACAAAAAATAGAACGTCGCATCTATCAAGCTGCGATGTCATATGCTACTTACGAATGAATGAAAGATATTTCTTTTATTTTAATAAAATAAAATAAAAAGACTTTTCGCTTTATAAAAGGCAACTATAAAAAACTGACGAAAAGATTCCTTCTTTAATTTTTCGATAAAATTAAAAGATATCTTATAGACAACTTCGTTTTGCCGAAGAAACAACATAAAAAAGATATCTATAAGTAAAGTATAATTTTTCATGGTACCTTTCTCTTAGCTTGAAAAGAAATATTATATGCTATTTTTTTTTAAAAGTATATTATATATACTTTATTGCAAAAAAGCTAGAAATTTTGATTCGCTTTTAAAATTTGACTCGTATTTTTTTAAAGTACTTTGAAAATTGCTTTTTTCTAAGAATCACTTGTAAGAAAATAATCTATAAAAATGATTCTCTAATTTCTTTAAAAGAAAAATATGCCGAAAATTTTTTTCCAACAGAACATTATATTTCTTTAGAGAAATTTAAGATTAAGAATTATCTTAAGACTTAGACAACACAAAATTGAAATATAAGACGTTTTAAGGACATCTTTGCGAAAGCTATCCAAGGAATATCTTAAAAATATCCTAATTTTGAATTTTATATTGTCTGGATATTAATAAATTTATAATATTTAAGTATATTAGCAATATTTAGTAATTATTTGACCAGTGCTTAATTATTGGTGGAATACAATTAGTAAAATGTTATTAATAATCAATATTTAAAAATTTGAGAATTTAATTAATAGCAAGAAATTTATAATGACTAAACATTAATATTTAGTTAATAGTTTTTTAGTAATTTTTGATTAGTTTTATATTAAAATGGTATTAATAAAAAAAATTGCTATCCATCCAAGTACTAATCTAAAAAAAATGTTCCTTAGTTTCTAAGCTTGAACAAAAATTAATATGTATTGAAATGACGTTACATGATTGATTTCATATAAATATATGAACAAATCTATTAAGCCTTATTATATTATAAACCTCCAAAAATTCCAAAATTTCAACTTAATTATCAATTTTAATATCAATTTTTTTATTAAATTTCTCTGAGATATAGACATTCGCTGAGAAAAACAAGTATTTTGACACTTTTTTCTAAAATTAAAAGAAAAGAAGAGCTTTAATACACAATGTAATACACAACACATTACTAGTAAATAATAATAATAATGTTTTTTTTTAACAAGATTATTTTCAGAAGAAAACCGAATAAACTCATAAGATATATGTCATATGCATATGTCACATGCATATTGTATTTTATTTTTGATAATTCTATTTTGTTAATTCTTGTCGTTCTTATTCACCTACATGTAGAAAGCAAATGAAAAATAATGCTAGATATTTTAAAACCATCAGAGTAATCAATTTCCATTTGTATATATTTCCAAAGCATATTTTCTTCGTCTTGTCTTTTTCTTCCGTACATTTCACAAATGCGAGACAAAATTGTCCAATGATTTACAATAATAAGATGTTATTATAAGCTAATATCGCTAGATCTTAAAAGCTATATATCTTTTAGAGTATTACAAAAATTTCTACTGATGTCTTGGGTTGTACACTTCCAAAGTAAGAATTTTAATTTTGATCTTCTTACAATCGGCTTTTGTGAACTTTCTAAAAGTTCGTTAGATAAAAGCTCCGCTTTAATACGCGAATACATAAGAACCTAACGCAGAGTTGCGGCCGAAAATTTTTTAGGTA